ATCACCGATCTAGCCTCCGCCTAACACATACGATAATTATCTCTAATTAACACTAAAATCACGACTCTAAATAAACCAAGTTATTTTCTCTCTCTAATATCTTGGAATGGGTAAAAGACCATTTGACCCATCCATGGTCTCCATAATCACTGTCTTGACCAAACCCTAAAGTCAACAAAATTCAACACTCGAGTCAACAGTCTATGTTGACCCGACTCGTCGAGTGCATCTATGTGACTCGCCGAGTCCCCTCTTTCCTTCAGAAATGTCGCGAAAATCCAAATTAACTCGTCGATTTGTCTTATCAACTCGCCGAGTTACTCATGTCCAGACTCGTTAGGGAAAACCCTAGCCGACTCGTCGAGTTGGCTCATCAACTCGACGAGTCCCTTAAGTCTATTTTCTCATTCAAACATTTTGAGGCAGAGTTACAACCCCAAACTCTAGATCTAGCCTTCCAAGGACGAGATGCCACGTAAAGCTGCAAGCTTTACGTCCATGCATGACACTTAGAGCTTGAAATGCCAAAACAAATTCCATTTAGGGTCCTAAGTAATAAAACTCTCCTCTAGCTTGATAAAGCTTGGACCTTTGGGATTAGGGGACCTCACAAGGTCCAGATCTGAAGTCTCAATCTCTTAGCAAGCTCAAATCACTCAAAGTCTCAAGGAAATATGAAAAAGCCCTGAAAGCTTCTTAACAACGAGATCTAATCAATATGATGAGCAATGTGGTGACTTTTACCTTCCAACAGAAGCTAAGGGTGGATGAACATCGGATCCAACAGTCCTTCTCATTCCTTTCTTTGATACTCTTCTCTTCTCTTCCAATGGTCCATTAAAATGCCCAAAGATTAACTATCTTTCTCTCTTAGATCAATATAGACGATCAGGGGAGTAAGGTGCATGGTGAGGTGAAAATGAGGGCTTAAGGTCCTTTAAATAGGACCCAACCTCGAAGAATTAGGTTTCCTCTCACAACGCCAACTCGTCAAGTTGGTTGTAAAACCCACACGGCCAAAACCCTTCTCTAATCGATGATTTGGGGCCTCCAACTCGTCGAGTTGCTCAGATAAAATCATGAACATATATAAATATTATACCTGGGAGTCGGGATGTTACACTCAAACTTATCATTTTCTATATCCTTTGTTTGTAATATTTTCTGTGATAAGAGTCAATATTGTTATTTTTGGAAGTTCTGTTTGTTAGTTTATTTGTAGGTGGTTAGATTGTGACAAGTTTGTAATTCTCCTGGACTTCGGTTCTCTTATGAAATATGTTGGATGTGTTTGACACACGGGTCTTGCCTATTATTAGTCCGGTTGGTTTTTACCCATGTTTGACTCGGGTTTTAACTAGTTTTTATATATAATATTGTGTGTGTGTTTAATTGTCATACAATATCCTTTTCACCCACACAATTATTTGTCTTCTCTTTGAGTCTTTGTTTAGGCTTTCTGATATTAGGGTTTACTCTTCATTACAGTTCTTTTCTTTATACATATCTAGGTTAGGTGTGTCTAGTGTAGGTGAGAGTTGTAATGAGGTATTTTGTATGGAGAGTGAGTGTGATTGTAGTAATTTGTGTTGTGTTGTAAATCGTATAAAAAGCAAAATGGTTCTTGAGGTTCAATAAAAGAGTTTGTTGATATTGTTTGCAATTATGTGTGTATTTGTTGATTTTGTGTTTCTTTTGAGGTTGTATGGGCTTATACTAGTTACACATTTGAATCATGATCTTGTAGAAAGTACAATACAGGAGGGAATTTAATTAGGTTATTAATTTATTATTTATTGAGATATCAATAAATAATTAAATTCATTCATTCATTTATTTATTGTTTATTAAAGTGTTAATAAATAGCTAGAAATTAATTATTTGGATTTAATAATTATGCTAAAAGAATTATATCTAACTACGATTATCCTTGAAAAAATGAGGAAAGAATAAGAAAACGTTATAACACGAATATGGATTCATTTTCAAAATTCGAGTTTAGTTTTAGTGGTTTTCGTTTGATCTATATGGTATCGAGATTTTGTTTTTCATTTTGGTTTCAAGTTTTGGTCATCATTTAGGTTCCAAGTTTTTAGTTTTCTTTTGATCCGTTCTTGGTATCAATTTTTTGATTTCAAGTTTTGCAAAGCGATTTGAAACCAAAACTAAAACAAATCGAAATTATTAGGGAAAATGATTTGAGAGTGTAATTATCTTTTCATCTTGTTCACGTTTAGACAATTTCATTTTTTTTGTACCATTTGACCATTTAACCTATTATATGTGAAGACATTTAACAAGTTAAATGGTCAAATGTTTACAATAAAAAGTTGTCTAAATGTGAATATTTTTTTTATAATTTTTTTTATAGATTTTTTATATAAATTCTTACAATATTTATATGATATACATATATTTTTCTATAGGTTTTTCTAATACAATGTTTTAAACTTTGCTTATAAATTTTTTTAACTTTTTTTTATAGTTTCATATACTTTTAATACAAGTGCTTTTAAACTAGATATTTTAAATTTTTCTTACAAGTTTTTAACCTTTTTTTTTTACATTTTCATATAATTTTTTTATAACTTTCATACAGTTATTTCTAAACTTTCTTTTACAATATTTTTAAAGTGTTTCATAGATTTTGTAAGATAATTTAATATTTTTTTATAACACTTTAAAATACTTTCATTAAATACTAGTTTAAAACGTTGTATAAAAAAATTAAAAGTTTATAAACTTCAAACTAAACAGTATTAAAAATTTGTAATATTTTTAAAACATTACGATATATAGATTTTTTTTTCTTTTTTTTTTCTAAGTAAAATTTTCATTTTATTTTTTTTAAAGACCCTTCATACTTATTGTTATATATTTAATTTATTTAATTTTATTGTTATATATTATTTACTTAAAAATATTGTATATGCATAAAAACAAAAAAATTATAAGAGGCTATATAAAATATTTCACAAAACAAAAACATATTTATTAATTAAAAAGTAAGGTTTAGAATTTAGCAATATTTAATTAATATTTAGGAAATTATGAATATTTTAAAAATAACGTTTGAAAGAAAATAATACAAACAAATATGAAAAATAAAATCGCTATCAAAAGTGGAGAAAATAACTTATCATAGTAATTATCTTTTTGTCTTGTTCACATTTAAGCGATTTTATTTTTTTTATAAAGATTTAACCATTTAACTTGTTAATGTGTTCACATATTACCATTGTCACCTGTTATAGTGAGTGACAATAGTAACATGTGAACACATATAACAAGTTTAATGGTTAAATGTGTACAAAAATAAATATAGTGTCTAAATGTGAATAAAACGACAAAGATAATTACCATGATAAGTCATTTTCCTAAATTATTAAAACCGTCTAAATAAAAGAAAAAAGTAAATATGTAAAATATACAATTTAACGCAAGTGTTTGTGATTACTTATTTAACTTAATAAATTTTTTATACAAGTATTTAATAGCTTATGTAATAACAATAAAAAGTTTTTAAAATGTTTGGATTAACGTGATGAAAAACTATTAGTTGATAAACTATTTTTTTTAAATGTTTAGCTTATATTGGCATATTAGTTGAAAAACTAGTTGTTAGCTGAAAAACTAGGTGTTAAATAAAAAACTAGCTGATAAAAAATAATGTTTGGTAAAACTAGCTGAAAAACTAACTGAAATATATAAAATGACATAAAATGACTTAAAGTTAGTCTAACTAGTTTTTCAAAAAGTTAACTTATAAGCTACTTTTTAGCTTGCCAAACATGACAACTTAAACAAAACTCAAAAAATAAGCTAGCTTATCAGCTAACTGTGGCGCACCAAACACAGTCTTAGATTAGTTATATATATATATATATATATATATATATATATATATATATATATATATATATATATATATATATATAATATGACAAAAAAATATATATTTATAACTATTTAATATTTTTACATATAATATTTTATATAAAAGTATTAAGTTATAAGCTAAAATAATTATGTTTTAATAAAGATATTATAGTATTTTAATCTTTATAATATGACTTGTAAAAACCACTTTTTGAGAATAATATGAACCAGTATGAAGAAGTGGTTATTGTGCAAGACTCCAAAAAAAAATGAGAACTTTTTTTATAGCTTGATCTACTACGACTAAACACTTACTACAAGGAAACTATGTGGAAGTTCCATATGGATTTGGAGGAGGCTAAGATAATAAAACATTGGGAATGGAGATTTTGAAGCTTTTGGAGGAGGCCAAGAACAACAAAGAAATTCAAGTGGATATTTTAAACATGTTGAAGGTAGAGCTACTTATGATGGTCATGCGTTTGGTGGTGGTGATTGTGATGGGGTTTATGGTTCGCAATGTTGTGGTTAAAGCATTGTGAAGTTGTGGGCATTAGTTAAGTTCGGGTGGAATGGTAGTAGTAGTAGTTTAGGTGTAAGGGTATTTTGGTTAAGTTAGGCAGTAAGTAGATGCATGTGTTATGTATGGTAATATTTTGATTTTGTAAGAGATGACAATGACAACAACTTATTATGGCTTAATGATAACAATGTATTAATTCCTTTAACACATACATATGTATAAAAATAACCAAATCATGGAAGGTAACAACAATTAAGTCCTTTAACACATACATATGTATTAACCTACTTACCAAACTAACCAAAACATGGAAGGTAACAACAATTATAGTGATCAAGGAATATATATTGATAACTTAACAATCATACCATGTCGTTTACAAAGCTTCCCAAATATCAATGTCAGTTAACAGCCCAAAAAAGGGAATGTACTTTACAAAGCTTCCCACAAACCACTGCCATACCATGTAACCTAATTAGAACCAAACTTCCAACTCTACCAAACATTATGGACATGAATTGGAAGCTTGTTACCAAAAGACAAGTGTACCAAAAGTAAATGTTTACAAAAATAGCAACCTATTTACTAATGCCCATTCTTAATCTAAAACCCAAGGGGTTTTGGAAGAACCACCATCATCAGCATCTTCAATCATTTTCCTGAGCTTCAGTTTCCTAATTCTTTCAGAGGGTTTCCTCTTTTTCTCCCAATGGAACTTGTAAGAACCATGACCCAAGGGTATCACTCTTGCTCCAACCCCCCCCCCCCCCTCTCTCTTCAACTTCTTCTTCCTCAACCACTCTGCGTTCAACTTCTTCTTCCTTAACCTCTCTCTCTTCAATTTCTTCTTCCTCACCCTCTCTCTCTTCAACTTATTCTTCCTCAGCCTCTCTTTCTTCAATCTCTTTTTCCTGAACATCTCTTTTCTGAACATCTCTTTCATCAACACCTGTTTCCTCAACTTCTCCATAAACCTACAATATGGCAAGCTAGTTAGTAAAGCTACAATACGAAAGCCATAAATAGTGTAACAACACATACCTCTTTCATAGTAGCCACTGCATCAACGTGTGTATATCTAGATAGCAACAACTCCTTTAAAGTAAATCTTTCACTCACCTTCACCTCATTTTCATTCTCTTGTTCTTGAACATCCTCTTTTGCTTGACTCATCACAGGTTAGGGACACATCCTCTTTTTCTTTACTCTTATGTTTCTTACCATTAGGTGTTTTCTTTGGTGTTTTGTTCATTGATCCAAACACTTTAGTTTTTCCTCCTCTCCTTGCCATCATCTTAGTCCTTTTCATAGGACTAACAGCAGGACCACCTACTTGATCACCAGATTCTGAAACTAGGGGAGGAGCATCATCTCTTCTTGGTATAAAAGGCCCAACTGGAGGGAATTAGTCAAAGATAGGTTGGCCTCCCCCATATTTCCTAGGTCTTCCAATCTTCCTTTTTGGGACAGGGGGCTTAGGTACCTCATCATTTTTGCATGAAATCTTATTATGCCCAAGTTGTTGGCACTTTCCACACCTCAAAGACCTAGGAACCTTTAACCTTTGTGAGTGGTATTTGGCATCCTGTGATTTAAATGCATGCTTCACTCTCTTTACTTTGGGTCTTCCAAGAATCCTTCTAATTGGGGGTGGTAATGGTTGAATAAAGTCATTCATTGACCACAAGTTGCTTCCACCTACATGTTGTATGTTCTGACTGTATGTTGTAACATATTTGTCCTTGTGGAACCAAGAAGAAAGGAATTGACTTGGATCTCTGTGGGTATAGTTTATTGAAGCTTAATTATTCATACATCGTATGCCCGACAACATCCACAAGTTGCAGGTGCAAGTGCAAGCAGCTAAATCAACCTTGTATCTATTGTAGCCATACCTAGTCTCAAACACATCACCATCACTTGGCACCACTGTCCACAACCTACACACAAAACAAGCAAAGTACACATATAAGCAATCAATACTTAATATGTTTGGATACATGCCCATAAAAACTTATATTACCTCATATCTTTCCCAAATTCATCAAGCTTCAGTTGTATGTTAGTCCCACAACTACAATTCCATTTGGCTACCTATTGACCTTGATGAAAAAACCTTTTCATAAGGAGAATCCTTATTTCCTCAAGCATTGTGAGTAGAGGCTTATTCCTTATTTCTTTGATCATGTCATTGAAACATTCTACAACCATATTCTCTACTGCTTCACAAGCATGCCCATGAGAAAAGAATGCCCTGTACCAGGTTTCAGGTTTCCTTGCCATAAGATAGGTGTATCCTATTTATGTTATCTTCTTTATCTTCTCCATTGTAGCAAGAAAATCCCCTTCCACTATACTCATAGCAGCTTCCCAGAACAAATTCTTTAGCTCTAATCTTGTGTATTTCTTCCTAAAGTTTGCAAAGATGTGTCTAGCACATTGTATGTGCTCAACATGGGGGAGTAGGTCTGCCATAGCCTGTAGAAGTCCCTATAATTAACAAACAAACACAACACATGTAAAAGTTAATGAGTGTAACATAGAAATATATATATATATATATATATATATATATATATATTGTATGCTATTGTATGTTGTGGTACCTTATGTTGGTATGAGATAACAACCAGTCCATTGCCAGCACCAAGATCCAAATCAGCAACCAAATTCTCAATGAACCATGTCCAGTTGGCCTTATTCTCAACATTCACAACTGTCCATGCTATTGGGTAAATATGGTTGTCTGCATGTAACGCCCGGGGTTCAGAGCTAATCATTTTTGTCAATGTAATACTCTAGGTCAACTCTTGTAACTCTTTTTGAAGTAATAAAGATGAAATATTTGAGTATTATGTGAATTATGTGTGTTTATGTGTTTATTATTTAATTATAAATGTATAATTAATAAAGAATAAAAATGAGCGTCAAAATTAAAGTGTGAGATAATCCCGATATCTCTACATAAAGTTTTAGAATATGTCTCAAGGTTTCCGTGCATATAAGGAACGCCGAAATCCGAGTTATAACGAAGAAGTTATGACCCGTCGAAGTTTCACGACAGAACCGGCACGATACCGGGAAGACGTAAATAGTGAATTTACGATAGAAGACTACTTAGCCTTAGCAATCTAAACAAAAGTCGTAGAATATGTTAAACTAAGAACATCAATAAAAATAACGCCCAAATCTGACTTCGTATGAAGAAGTTACGATTTTTCGAAGTTTCGGAATAGCAGTGTACAACCCGAAATTCGAATATTAGATCGAGTGATTTTTAGCCGACACGACCTAAACGAGAATCGAAGATCTCGTTAAGAGTAGTGTAACGAGAAAAAGATGGGCGAAAACGGATGTCAGATGAAGAAGTTATGAGATTTTAAACAGACCAATCCTGTCCCGGCCTGTTAAAAATATAACTTTAAAAATAAAGTCAAAATTAGCCGACGGAGTCTAAACAAAAGTTGTAGAGTACGTCTCCACCTACGCGTGGATATAAAGAACGTCAAAAACGGAGTTCGTATGAACGAGTTACAAATTATAATAGCATATTTACATATTAAAATAAAGTATAAATCATGTATACGTACACATATATATACATATGTATATATCATTAGAAAGGTATCGACGAGCGGTCATTATAAGACTAATGTTGAGTTCTTTCGACATTAGTTTAGTACAAATCATTAAATCCATTTAAAATAGTATTATAAAGGGGTGTTTAGTTGTTTATATAACTAAAAGGTCATTAAGTAATTATGGAGGGTAGTTTTTGAAAATTCAATTAGTATAAATAAGAGCCTTGGGCTCTCATATTTCTTGCACCATTCTCTTGATTCAAGAGTCTTTCTCTCCTTATCCCCCGAGCATTTCGGTCCCTCGTGATTCGACTTCTCTTTCTGTAGTTTAGTATAGTAAGGTGAGCGCTGAAGCGCTGCACGAATCTTTCTTAGAAAGATTCAGCGACGAAGTTCTGCCCCTGCAGAGCCCGACTCCTAGCTAAAACCCCCTTGTAAGTAAGTTATGCTTACCTTATTTTAATATAGCTTATATTTAAAATTAGTATTGTTATTATGAACTTATAATAAATACTTGGGCTATTATTATGGGTTATATAAGTATTTTTTTTTAACGCTTATATAATAATAATAATAGCTAGACTATTAATTAGTTTCGGCGAATAATAGACTAAACTCTAGTGGTAATAATACTAGGTTTCGTCGAAGAAAATTCTATTTAAAAAGCGAAGCGCTGTCTGAGTTCGGAATCACCACCTTTTCAAGTGAGTGCATAGTTACTTTCATCTTACACATAGATATGAAATATTTTATATATTACGTGCTATGTGTGCATATTATCTGTATACTTGTTATCTATGCTGGATGAATGTTTTTATACAAGTTTTAAATGATTTAAACTTTATATGTATTTTATATCTACAAAAATGTTGGGGTAAAACATGGGTAGATGTAATAAGACGATGTGTGATAAAATGACGAGAGGCCTCAATGTTGTTGTTGTTGATCCAGTCATCTAGCGGAGTATAGATGACAACCACGGACTCTTCTAGACAGTCCAGTGGAACGCTGGCAGGCTCGCAACCTGTAGGTGTTGTGAACGATGTGTTCACCGGTGTACTCCATCCCCCACATGGTTGCCTATTAGGACATTTATTGTTGAGGAATCCCCTTAGCAGTAGTGTCCGTCCCGATGATGATCCTTAGGCTAGGTCCCTTATGAGAGGTGTTTAGGGACGTAAAGTGAGGATAACGGGAGCGGGTAATCGGGTTATTGTTGATTGATGAAATTAACAAACTTATTTATTGTGGGTTGAAAACCCTATGTGCTCACCAGGCTCGCAAGCCTGACCCACTCAGTTTTATGTATTACAGGTAGTGGCGCATGAGCATAGGTGTGATGTTTTGGACGAGGGATTATGGATATAGGCCTGTAGATATGAAATAATGTAGTAAGGCTTATATTGTATTGTTTATACTTTTGATCTGTACGAACATGACATCCCGATTCTTTTAATGAAATACATTTCTATGGAAATGTTTTTGATAAATATTTATCATATTATTGTTTTGGGACAAATTATGCAACCCTTTTATTAAAAGATAATTCTGATTTTGAAATAAAGTATAAACAAAACCGGTCTTTTTTGGCCGTGATTTTGGGGATGTCACAGTTGGTATCAGAGCATTAGTTTAAGCGAACTAGGAATTTGTAGGATTTGTAGACTTAAACTTAGAATGCTAAGCGATGATTGTGAGGTGTGAGCACTAGCTTATTTTAGGAATTGTGCCTAAAATGCTTTTATGTGCTAAATGCTTTATGCATGATATGCTGTTATTTTGTTCGGATCTATGGTCTGTTGCCGACCGGATCTGGAAACCTTATGTGTTTAGGATTCTAAACGTACGACTACGATATTAGAACTAGCATGTAAACGTTTCGGAGTGATAAGGACGATTTAAAACGTCTCTCCTAAATAAAGATCTAAATTCACCTTATTCGGTGTATAGATCAAGATGGAAAGGACCCGTAGCGGAAACGTGAACGCAAATGGAGGTAGGAACCAACCCCCAGTGATCGAGCAAATACCAGTTGTGGAAGCCGCTGCCGGACCAATAACGATGGCCGGAGTGCAAGCGATGATCCAGGCAATGTTGGATCATCAAATGGAGGAAACCAGGCGTTTGCTCCAGCAAAATCGAGAGGAAGCGACTATTCAGATCGAACAGCTCGAGTTGAACGAAGGGCAGACTGAAGAAGGAAACTACAGTGGGACTATTGGTCAAGCCAACCCACCGATAGTTAGGCAAAACCACTAGGATGCAGGAAATGATGGACGTGGATGCAAATACAAGGATTTCATGGCATCCAAGCCACCGAGTCTATCTGGAAGCCCGACGCCGGTGGAAGTCATGAACTGGATCTCTAAGATGGAGACAATGTTTGAGAGTTGCGAGTGTAGCAATAGGCAGAAGACCGCTCTCGCAGTTCTTCTATTGAAATCTGGAGTACTAAGCTGGTGGAAGCTATTAGCTGATTCGATGCCCAAAGGTGAAGCAAGCAAAATGTCATGGGAGGATTTTCTGGTACAGTTGAAGATGCAATACTGCTCTGAGCAGGATCTTCTGGAGATCAACAACGAATTCCAGAATCTGAAGAAGGGAAGAATGAGCGTTACTGAATACGCTGCAAGCTTTACTGAGAAAATGAAGCTTGTTCCTCACCTCGTCCCAACTGAACTCTCCAAGGTTAACCAATTTTCCCTCGGATTACCAGCGGACTTCGGTCCAATGGTCAAGCAAACTACCACTCTGAAAGCCGCCATCTGGGCTGCTAAGAATGTGGAGACCCAGATATGAGAGAAGGGTCTGGAGAGAGCGGAAGTGGGAGAGAAAAGGAAATTTGACGGATCCTCGAGGTCCGGTAAGAAAGGTAGGTTCTTGAAGTCTGGTTCGAAAGGAGGAGGAGGATCAGAAGCGAAGTGGTGTGGCAAGTGAAAGAAAAAGCACTTTGGGAAGTGTGACGGAGGGGTCACTTGTTACAAATACGGAAAGCCTAGGCACTATGCCAATGAATGCACCCTCAATCAGAAGGCCTGTTATGGGTGTAATGAAGAAGGGCACATTTTGAAGGACTGCCCGAAGAAGAAGGAGGCAGGAAGACTCAACATGCCACCAAAGCCGAAGGCAAGAGCCTTCCAGATGACGCTCGAGGCTGCAAAGGAGGCAGTAGACGTCGCTTCAGGTACCTTTCTTGTAAATGGTTTGCCTGCAAATATACTATTTGATTCTGGAGCCAACTACTCCTTTGTGTCGCATAAATTTAGTGCGAAATTAACATTACCTGTAGAAAAACTTGATAACGCCCTAATTGTAGAAGTTGCCAGTGGCAAATTCGTACCTGTTAGTAATCGTATTAGGAACATCGTCATTGACCTAAACGGAAACGAATTCCATGAGGAACTATTACCCATAGAGTTAAACGGTTTCGACATCGTTTTGGGTATGGATTGGCTTAGCGCCAACGATGCCGAGATATTATGCCGAAAGAAGATAGTTAGGATAAACCCATCCGAAAAGGAATCATTTATGGTGTACGGGGACAAACGCAGAGTGAATTCTGGAATCATCTCCCTGATGAAAGCCAGGAAATGTTTGTCCAAAGGATGTGCATCATACTTGGCATTCGTAATCGATGCTAAGAAGGAAAAGAAAGAGGTGCAGAATATACCGGTTATGTGCGATTATCCGGAAGTCTTTCCC